GGGTGTGGTGGCGTGTGCGTGTAATCCCAGCTACTTAGGAGGCTGGGGCAGGAGAATCACTGGAACCCAGGAAACAGAGGCTGCAGTGATCTGAGATCTCACCACTGCACTTCAGCCTGGGCAACAGAGCAAGACTGTCTCAAAAAAAAAAAAAGACATTAGGTTTGTGGTAGTTTGCTACAGCAGCAATGGAAATTAACATACGTAGTTATTTGTTTAATATAAAAATTAAAAGGAAGACTTCAGGTATTATAATGCCCACTGTTACAGGTGAGTGATAGAGATATAACACACCTAAGGTTATAAAACCTGAATCAGCTTCTGAACTCAAATCTCCATGATATTTTTATGAGAAGTAAATAAGAATTTTAAGACCCAGTCTCTGACTTCAAGGCACAATCTAATAAGTTATGTATGTAAAAACTGTAACGCAAGGTAAAATGCAGGTTCCTTATAACACAGAATCAAGTGCTGTGGCCCTTCAAGAATGGAAAGATGTCTGGCTGGAGAGGAAGGGAAGGCTTCACAGTGGAGGCGGCTTTTGAGCAGAGTCTTGAAGATTGTGTTAGATTGCAGAAAAGGGGCCTATTACGGGTTAAGGAAAGAGTTTGGGTAAGAGAAACTCACAGGGTTTGTCGGGGTTCCGGCCTTGATTGGTGGGGTGGGAGTGAAGGAGGCCAGCAGAGGCACACAGCTAGAAAGTGAGGTGGGAATACATCACGGAATAGCTAAAACGCTAAACTGAGGAGGTGTAGAAGTATTGTGTGGGCCACAGGGAGCCACTGCAAGTTCCAAGCAGTGATATGATCAAAAAAACAAGGAGATAAACAATAAGATATTGGTCATGAAGTGATTAAGTAATAATGTCTTGGCTGGGCACAGTGGCTTGTACCTGTAATCCCAGCACTTTGGGAGGCCGAGGCAGGAGGATTATATGAGGCCAGGAGCTCAAGACCAGCCTGAGCAAGACTGCGAGACATTGTCTCTACAAAAATTTTTTTTTAATTTTTAAATTATTTTTTATTTTTGGAGATGGAGTTTTGCTCTTGTTACCCAGGCTGGAGTGTAATGGTGTGATCTTGGCTCACTACAGCCTTCGCCTCCTGGTTTCAAGTGATTCTCCTGCCTCAGCCTCTTAAGTAGCTGGGATCAGGTGCACACCACCACACTTGGCTAATTTTGTATTTTTAGTAGAGACAGGGTTTCTCCATTTTGATCAGGGTGGTCTCAAACTCCCGACCTCAGGTGATCCACCTGCCTCGGACTCTCAAAGTGCTGGGATTACAGGTGTGAGTCACTATGCCTGGCCAAAATATATATATATTTTAATATAATGTATTTAAACTACTCCAGGCTGGGCCTCACTTCGGGAGGCCAAGGCAGGCAGATTACCTGAGGTCAGGAGTTCGAGATCAGCCTGGTAAAAATGGTGAAACACTATTTCTACTAAAAATACAAAAATTAGTCGGGTGTGATGGTGCACGTCTGTAATCCCAGCTACTCAGGAAGCTGAGACAGGAGAATCACTTGAATCCAGGAGGCAAAGTTTGCAGTGAGCCAAAATTGTGCCACTGCACTAAAGTCTGGGCAACACAGTGAGACTCCATCTCAAAAAAAAAAAAAAAAAGGCCAGGGGTGGTGACTCACATCTAATCTATAATCCCAGCACTTTGGGAAGCCAATGCAGGAGGATCACCTGAGGTTAGGAGTTCGAAACCAGCCTGGCCAACGTGGCAAAACCCAGTCTCTACTAAAAGTACAAAAATTAGCCAGGCATGATGGTGGGCACCTGTAGTCCCAGCTTCTCAGGAGGCTGAGGCAGGAGAATCACTTGAACTTTTGAGGCAGAGGTTGCAGTGAGCCGAGATCACGCCACTGCACTCCAGCTGGGGGAACAAGAGTGAAACTGTCTCAAAGAAGCAAAACAAAACAAACAAACAGGGAAAAAACAAAAACAAAAATCTATTTGAAAGTAGCTGGGGTGATGTTTTTGGTCAGTGAGTTCCCTTACCCTTCGGCTTGGGGTTGGGTTTGGCCAATGTGGAGCATAGTAGGCAGCCGTAGGGAGAACAGAGAGTGAGGTTAGGGTGTGTATTCCCTTGCTTTCTTCCCGTGAGCTGGGTGTGTCCCCTGACAGAAAGTCATTACTCCTATCTTGGTGACACTCTTCATGCAAATCTTTCTTTCCAGTTCTGGTAATTGCACTTTCTCTGCACATCTTCACATCCGGGATGGTTTCTCTGCATCCTGTCCATGCCTTTGTGAACACCCCCTTTCCTAAACTCTCCTCAGGTCATCTCGTTTGAGTAGGCCATTTATTTCCTGCTGGGACCCTGCCCATGGCAACTGTTCTAGCTCCAAACAGTCTCTCTGATCTCCAGATCTCTCCTTTTGCACCAGGTAGGATGGGTGAGCAGTGTTCTCAGTTCATGTATAGTTCTCACTTCTCAGATAGCTAACTGTACACATTTCTCACTCTTACATGGGGTAGTTCAGGCATTTTCAAAAATTCCACAAACACTCACAGTAAAGATCCTCTCGGGTATACAGTGAATTCAATCAGACCATTACAGTTAATATTGTGGCGCCTAATTTCTAATGAGTGGAAAAAATAAAAACCTTAAAAACATGTCTGTTCTTTAAATATATATAATTTTATTTAATTAATTAATTTATTTTGGTTGTTGAGACGGAGTCTCAGTCTGTCACCCAGGCTGGAGTGCAGTGGTACGATCTTGGCTCACTCCAACCTTCACCTCCCGAGTTCAAGCAGTTCTCTTGCCTCGGCCTCCAAAGTAGCCAGGACTATAGGCGTGCGCCACCACGCCTGGCTAATTTTTGTATTTTTTTAGTAGAGACGGGGCTTCGCCATGTCGGCCAGGAAGGTCTCGAACTCCTGGACTCAAGTGATCCGTGCTCCTTGGCCTCTCAGAGTGCTGGGATTACAGGTGTGAGCCACCATGCCCAGGCAATATATTTTTTATTTTAATAGATTTTGAGGTACAAGTGATTTTTAGCTACATGTGTGAATTACATAGCGGAGAAATCTGAGATTTTAGTGTGCTTATCACCCGAGTGGTGTACAGTGTACCCAATATGTAGTTTTTTATCCCTCACCTCCCTCAAAAACATGTGTGTTCCGACCCAGCACATCCTTTTTCAGCAATTTAACCTAAGGAAAGAGTCAGTGGATAAATGCAAAGACTTAGCTACGGTGATGTTCACGGCAGCATTGCTTATAAATATAAAGCTGGAACCAACCATAATGTCAAGCCTCAGTAGATTGATTAAATAACTATGTTGTATCAATGATGGTGTTAACTATGGTACAGCAAATAACTATGGTGTATTAAATAAATATGGTGTATGGTGTAAAAAATATATAGTGGAATATAATAGAATGCTGTTTAGACACAAAAGAATGTTGTAGAAGAATATGAACAGATGACCATGTATTTTAAAACATTTTGTCTCATCTTTTTTTGCAAGGTAACTTTAAATTTGGGGATAATTTTAGATTTATAGAAAAGTTGCAAAGATAGTGCAGAATTCCCTTATACCCTTGACCCAGTTTTCCTTAATGTTATGTCTTACATAACCAAAATACACTTACCAGAATTAATACAATGTTATTGACTAAACTACTTTATTCAGATGTCACTAGTTTTTCCGTGAATGTACTTTTTCTGTTCCAGGGTCCAGTCCAGAATACCACATTATATTTAGCCAAAATATATTTTGCGGGGAAAAAATTGTAAGGAAGACTACAAAAATATGCATCCAAATGTTAACAGAAATGTACCAATTAAGGCTTTTTAGTTGCAAGCATCAGAAACTGACTTTGGCAACCTTGTGAAATAGGAATTTGTTAGAATGATATGGTACATCTCATTGAATTAAAGGAAAAAGTAAACGACCAGCCCTCGGAAAGGACAGAAGCAAGGCTGCTCTGTGTCCAAGACAGCGGGGACTGTCTGCTTTTTTCTGAATAGGGAGTCATCACTAGGGTGATGCTTTTGGTCTTTGGATCACTCTGCTTAAGGTCTAAACTTGGCCGGTTGTGGTGGCTCACGCTTGTAATCTCAGCACTTTGGAAGGCCAAGGTGGGTGGATCACGAGGTTAAGAGATCGAGACCATCCTGGCCAACATGGTGAAACCCAGTCTCTACTAAAAATACAAAAATTAGCTGGGTGTGTTGGTGTGCACCTGTAATCCCGGCTACTCGGGAGGTTGAGGCAGGAGAATCGCTTGAACTCGGGAGGCAGATGTTGCAGTGAGCTGAGATTGTGCCACTGCACTCCAGCCTGGTAACAGAGTGAGACTCAGTGTCAAAAAAAAAAAAAAAAAAATCTAAACTCTGGAGAGTGTGAATGTGTTGGACCAAGCTTGGGTCAACCAGCCAGCCTTTGGCCAGGGACACTGGGGCACCTTGACCAACACTTCCTCTGCCTTGCAATGGCAATGGAGAAAGAGTCCCTAGAGAAAAATAGAAATTCTGTACCCCAAAATACAAGGCATAACTATTGATAAAGCAAAAAAAGATATATCTGGAATAAGTGACTTCCTCTAAAGTTATGGGTGAACAATTTTTTTTCTCTGAGTTTTCCAAATGTTACAAATAAACATGTACAGCTTTTATAATAGCAATACAAAGCTGTTTTTAATATTCTAGTACCTAAAGTTAACAAATTAAGTAAGCAGATTTTAGTATCGACAGACTTACTTTTTGTCTGCATGTTCAAGACAGTGGCATTGGGAATGGACAGGAAGGGTTAGAGAGCAGAGATGCTTTCAAGGAAGAATCCAAGAAAACTTGGCCCTGACTAGTTACAGGAGATGGAGGAGAAGGGCAAATTCAACTTAATTCCAAACTCCTGATTGACAGGGAAAATGGTGGTCCATTGTCAAAACACTGAAGGGACAGGTACAGTGAGCTGTCTGGGTAAGGATGGTGGCAAGTTCCAGCATGCGGCTTTCATTTTCCTCATCTGACCTCCAGGGCTGACGATGAATCTTCAGAGCCTGTGAACACCAATGTGGTCCTGCGGTATGATGGGCTGATCACCTGGGATGCACCGGCCATCACCAAAAGCTCCTGTGTGGTAGATGTCACCTACTTCCCTTTTGACAACCAGCAGTGCAACCTGACTTTTGGTTCCTGGACCTACAATGGCAATCAGGTGGACATATTCAATGCCCTGGACAGCGGGGATCTCTCTGACTTCATTGAAGATGTGGAATGGGAGGTCCATGGCATGCCCGCTGTGAAGAACGTGATCTCCTATGGCTGCTGCTCTGAGCCTTACCCGGATGTCACATTCACCCTCCTTCTGAAGAGGAGGTCCTCGTTCTATATCGTCAACCTCCTCATACCATGTGTCCTCATATCTTTTCTGGCTCCTTTGAGTTTTTATCTCCCAGCAGCCTCTGGAGAAAAGGTCTCCCTGGGAGTGACCATCCTGTTGGCCATGACTGTATTTCAGCTAATGGTGGCAGAAATTATGCCAGCCTCAGAAAATGTCCCTCTGATAGGTGAGTTCAAGTGTTTTCCACTACAAGCCCAGCTTTGTAGTGCCTGGGGTCATGCCTTTAAGGTTGTGTGTGTGCCTTTAAACTTGAAACAATGGAGCCAATTTCAGACTCAATCCAGACTGTCCCAAACTCCTCTGGTGGTTACAGTTGGTACCTTTCAATATAGATAAGGCTGTTGGAATCAAAACTGGTTTCACAGTCGCTGGGTTTGCACAAAAGAGCAATGAAAGGTGTTATACTTTAGAGCAGTGGTTCTCATAGTGATGGTCCCCAGAGGCACAGCGTCAGCATCACCTGGGAACTTTTTTTTTGTTAATCTGACAGATATAGACTCTGATGCTTTTTTTTTTTTTTGAGACAGAGTCTTGCTCTGTCGCTTAGGCTGGAGTGCAATGGCATGATCTTGGCTCACTGCAACCTCTGCCTCCTGGGTCCGAGCAATTCCTTGCCTCAGCCTCCTGAGTAGCTGGGACTACAGGCATGCACCACCACGCCCGACTAATTTTTGTATTTTTAGTAGAGAAGGGGTTTCACCATCTTGGCCAGGCTGATCCATGACCTCGTGATCCACCCCCACCTCGGCCTCCCAAGGTGGTGGCATGAGCCACCGTGCCTGGCCCACCTAGGAACTTTTAGAAACCCAAAATCTCAGGGCCCACCCTAAGCCTACTGAATTAGACATTCTGGAGATAAGGCCCTGGCATCCTGTTTGAACAAGTCTTCTGGGTTATTCTGATGCATTTTCTGTTTAAGTCTGAAGTCCGCTGACCCAGAGGTTAAGACCTGATTTTGAAATCAAAGACCCCTGCATTTGAATGCTGACTTCACTGTTTACTTCTTGATCAAACTTAGACAAGCTACTTGTTCTCTTCGTCTCTGCTTCATCATCTGCAAAATTTGTGTGATTGCTTCCTTCTGTGTCATTGCTTACTGCACACCCTGGCATATGGTAAGTGCTGAGTAAACAGTGACTATTGTTATCATTTCACATGACAAGGGTTTTCTTCTAGGGAAGAGTGGCAACATGGCAGAAAGATGTGCTTTTTAAGCCTGATGTCTACCCTTACTAGAAAAATCTCAACTTCACTGGGTATAATAGCAGTGGGAGAAAGCTTATTAAAATGCACGTTCCTACACCCAGAGAGTTTGATTTAGCAACTCAGTCAAGATTTGGGAATCTGAGGTGATTTCAAAGCAGACCACATTTTCAAAAATCAGCCATAATGAAATGTCCCTCCAAGGGCTGGTGTGCAGACTGAGGGTACTGCCCCTGCCTCCCATATCCTTACCTAGCTTGTTCTGAGGGCTCTCCTATCCCCTCTAACACATACTTCTGGCTGGGCACAGTGGCTCACGCCTGTAATCCCAGCACTTTGAGAGGCCGAGGTGGGCAGATTACCTGAGGTCGGGAATTCAAGACCAGCCTGACCAACATGGAGAAACCCCACCTCTACTAAAAATACAAAACTAGCCGGGCATGGTGGCACATGCCTGTAATCCCAGCTGCTCGGGAGGCTGAGGCAGGAGAAGTGCTTGAACTAAGGAGGTGGAGGTTGCGGTGAGCCAAGATTGCGCCACTGCACTCCAGCCTGGGCAACAAGAGTGAAACTCTGTCTCAAAAAAACAAAAGAAAACAAAAACACATACTTCCTGTTTTCAAGGATACTCTTGAGATCCAACACCTCCATCTCAAGGACTTGCTGTTGTAACAGATGCTCACCAGAATCAAGCTAGATCTAAGTTTGAGTTCCTTAAAGTAAGCGATAAGGAGACATTTTAGGAACTTAGAGTGTAATATCAAGGGATGTTGCCTTGCCCTTTTACTCTTTACTCAGTCCAGTGACCCAGGATTCAGACGACTCTATAGTGGCTTCTCCATTTGGAAATTTCTTCATTTTTATGTCTCTCCTTGCAAAATACACACACACACACACACACACACACACACACACCCCTCTTTTTCAGAATTAGACACAGAAGGCTTTTTCCCCTCTAATAAAAAGAAGAAGATGCGTTGGGATTTTATTAGCTCTCCTGAGGCAGAAACGATTGGCAGTGGTGACATCCAGTCATAGCCTGTTTGAGGAAAGGTCACTGGCTGGTCCCACTCTCCTCTTGGGCAGTAACATTATACAGCAAACTCCCACAATTTCTAAAGATACATGTCTCACAGGAATTGCTTGTTCTGTTTCTATAGTGATATGAAATTTATCTTTTAAAAATTAGATTAGGCCGGGCGCGGTGGCTCAAGCCTGTAATCCCAGCACTTTGGGAGGCCGAGGCGGGTGGATCACGAGGTCAAGAGATCGAGACCATCCTGGTCAACATGGTGAAACCCCGTCTCTATTAAAAATACAAAAAATCAGCTGGGCATGGTGGTGCGTGCCTGTAATCCCAGCTACTCAGGAAGCTGAGGCAGGAGCATTGCCTGAACCCAGGAGGCGGAGGTTGCGGTG